TATTTATATATATACTGATTGGTAACAGGAACACAAATAGATCACTCATTTTAAAAGTAAAAATTTTATCTCAGAATGGCAGTTTTTTTTCCACAAGAGATATTAGGAAGAAGAAGCAGGATAATATCTTGATGGAAAATTATGCCTTAATTTTAATTTCACGGATATACTGTAGCCACCTATTTGACAACACTGAAGGGAAAGCGAAGTTTCAGAAGGGGAGCCTTTGCCGCACTGTTCTCTGAGGGTCTCACCTTCTGGCTTCATTGTGGTAGGAAGATGGGAGGGTGTGAGTCATCCTGATGGCTCTGGGTGTGGGGGGAGGAGAAGTTTCACATTTAATTGTTGCTTTATCCTCCCGACCATCTTCCTCTACCACTGCAATCTAGGAGGAAAAGAGAATATATTCTAATGAACTGTCTTTAAATTTCAACTAAATTTGATAAAAACGAGCAATTTTAAGGCAAGGATATGTGAGTAATTCTAAAGACAAAGACAAGGTAGGTATATGCATCTATATAATAGATGCATTACCTAAATAAATTCATGTTAAGAGTGTGATTTTTATGGCTATTTCAAAGTGAAGATATAACAATTAAGAATTTATAGACCCACTACACAAAAATATTTTGCAAAAGTTATACCATAAATCAATCTGTAGCAACTATGAAAACTATTCTGGAATCCTATCACCTTATCAAAAAGCATACTTTTTACACAAAGGTATTGAACACATTTTTGAGCAAACCTGTGAATCTACTAAAGAAAAAAAAAGCATTGTGCACAGTTTATCATATCAAAAACACCTTTTAAACAGGAGTCTTAAAATGAGAAGTCAAGGTTGCAAAATATATTATCTGATAAATTACTTTAAATTAGTAAACCTAATAAAATGTATTTCAAGAGAATTTAAAAAGTAAGTTTAGGGCCGGGCATTTATCTCAGTGGTTCTGGCGCCTGCCTCAAAAGCACAAGGACCCGAGTTCGATCCCTGGTACGAAAAAAAAAAAAAAAAAAAAAAAAAAGTAAGCTTATATGAAAGCTTTTTCATTTGAGAATAATAAAAGGTTAAAACATAATTCTTGAAAATTATTTCATTTTACTCCTAGTGAAGAAAAAACTGAAAAAAATATGAAAAGCCAAAAAGGAAATAAGATAAAATGTTAAAGAACAAAAAGAATCAAATTCAGAGTCCAGCACAACTCAATACACCACCAATGTTGTGAGATAATACAGAGCTCTAATAAAAAAAGAACTTTCTAGGAATTAAGTTAATTGTTGAGAAATACTTTACATGCTGCATTTTGATGGCCTAATTTTACATTACAACATACAAAGAGGAACCAAGATACAGAAAATAGAGCTACAAGATATATATTTCTGGAAGTTCTGATGAAAAAATGTTTTCAATGTGCCTAATGCCACAATTTTAGATTTGCATTCTGGGGGAAATGTCTTATTTGTTTCTACATAAAGCTGTTTTACATAAATGTGGTTTTTATTATAGAAATATCATGCACTGGAGGAATTTAATGAACTTGTTTGTTAGATCTCGCATCAGGCCTAGATTACTCTTGCAGATTAGAGAGACATTTTGATACGAGTCCTTTTCTCCATTAAGCTTACATAGTGCCATTAGCATAATTATTTTCAAGAACTGTTTCACCATAACTTTAATGTGATAGATCCTGTTAAATCCAAAACCCATCTAAACATGAACATGTTTCAGAACTCACCTCAACATGTAGTAGTATTTTCATGGTTCCATGTTTAACCATCATTCTTTTCTATGCTTCTTAGCTCTAAGCACAACCATTTCTGCTTTCAAACTTTTGCTCCTGAGACACCAACTTAAACAATACCCTTTGTTTCCCCTTCTACTAACCAAACTATATCCTTTCCATATGGACTGTTAAACACAAAAAATACAAACTTCCTCTGAATTACATGAAAGCTCACAGTATATAAATTCAGAAGAAAGGCTTTAGAATCAGTAAATAAAATGGAAATGATGACAATTACCTTAATATATATTTTTTGAAGTACAAATGAAATCCTATATGTAACTACTTTCTGTGATACACAGGATTTTAGTTTGTGTTCATTTTTTCACTCCACCATGTCAGTCTCTAAATGTTATGAATCTGTGTTTCTCCACAGGACCTTCCATCCTATCTGATTTTATTCTGGCTAAATTTCTTTTACACAATCTAATACAATTTTTTTCTAACTTTGTAGGTTCTTTCTAGTCCTTTTCAGCCCCACCATGGCCAAAGATTAATAAGAATATTATACAGGTACATTTGTGGTTGAGAATTAAGTGGTGGTGTGAAAAAGATGCTACAAGATGATTAATAATAACGTAGGAAAAGAAAAAGAAACTTCCATCAATCTAAGCCATAGACAGGTAATATAGATTCCTTCAATTATTTAATGCCTAAAAAAGTTTTCTAGTCTCAGAAGTGTTTCAGCATAGAATGGCTATCACATACTGAAAATGTTAATGAATAGATTGTTTTATTAGATAGTAGCTAGGATCTTTGGAATCTTTCCTCACCTGATACCCTACAGCTGTTCTCAACTATCTAGTAGTAACTCATTTTTCGAATCATAATTGAGTCCACTCTATTTCCCTTATGCCATATTTATTATCTTGATGTCTTTCCAAACAAGAAAGGGTTTCTTTTATTCTATTTGCTTGTTTTCTGTATCTGTGAGGTTCTACCCTTTGAAGATTCTTCTTCTGCCAATGCACTGTGTTGACCCTGGTGCTTAAAACTGTGAGTAACAAACTAGTATCTGTTCTTTGGCAGTTGTCTCTTAATTTGTTGGAAGCACCATATATGAAAAATAACGAAACCAACATTTTAAAACAATCAGCTATGCTCTAGTATTGATATTAAAATATCTAACTTTACCTACCAACGATGTTTTGTATTAGTGATATATCAAGATATTTAGTCCTCATAATCCAATCATTGTCCCACAATTTTATTTTTGAGGCTTTTGTTATTATAATAATATTATTTAAATGTAATAACACTTTAATAACCTCAGTACTACTTCTTTTTTTTTCTTTTTTTATGTACCAGGGATCAAACTAGGGACCTTGTGCTTGCAAAGCAGGTGGCAGCACCACTGAAGTAAATCGCCAGCCCACTCAATATTTCTTTTTTATGTTAATAAAATACTTGAGTGGGAATATTATTTTAAATCTTTCATAGAAAGAAGACAATATTCAAGTAGTAATTGTGTAAGAATTATTTACAGTACCTTTCTCCGATGTTTCCTTAGGTCACTTGGCTGTGAATAGCAGCAATAAAAGCAAAACAAAACAACTAATTAATGATTTCCATTTGACCATTTTATAAGTTCAAATAGTATCTGTAATTCAGTTGTCATTTTTTTTCATTTCATTCTTTCCTAAATAAATGTTTTTAATCAATATAAAAGCACTCCTCCTGGTAGTTTCTTTAGAGAAGATCCTCTCCGAGAACACGTATGCGGGGACAAGTTGCCACAATGAGGCTGTCTACTTTAATTTGCCACTAGACAGGGACCCTGGGGAATATAAAGCACATAGTGAGTCTAGCTAGAGTAAGCTACCAAAAGTGAACATGAACCATCCTCACAAGAACACAGAGACAAAAGAAGATCCAGGGCATACATTCAGAGTTTGTAAAAGCTCCCTTTATCTCCCTTCTTGGGAGCTGTGGGAAGCCTTCGGGCAAGCGTACTGTTCTATGAAATCTCAAGCTTCCTGACATGCTGATATCATCCCCTTGGCCAGAGTTCTGTCCTCAGTATAACAAAGAATGCTGCTTTCTTATCAGTGTCCTTTCATAGAATTTCTTTAAAAGTTATTTTTAATGATTCCAGATAGGCTTAATAAAGTGAATTCATTTAATATCATTGTCAATTTTTCTGGCATAAGTAAAATAATTTTTAAACTATTGCATTATGATTTGCATTATTTCTTGTTAGTCGGAGATATGTTGTTTTTACCGCACTCAGTATTCCAACTAGATATTTTTTGCTTGATTTGTATGTCTACAGGTTCGTTATGAAGTAAACACAAGTACACTTTCTTATTAGGGCTAAGAAATAATGTTCATAAGATGTTCCACAATGAAACAATTAATGTAATGTCTTTTTAATCTTGAATTTTCTGTCCCCCAAATTTCTAATGTTGTCCTCCAACATTTTCTACTGGCAAAAGAAAAATGTACCTGTCCTTTACTATAAAAATGATGTATTTGATGACAGTTTAATTAAATAGTAAAAATGCATTTCATTTTTTGATTTACTGATTTAAATTTTGAACTCAATAAATATTTCTTTACCCTTCAGGTAATGTCTTATCTACTTTTTCAGTACTCTTACTGTAGTGAAATAATGTTGATTTATAATTAATTTATTTGTAACTACCTGCTCAAGAAATTTTGTGGAAGCCCTTGAATATTTTTCAAATGCACAAAAAATAAAATCATGTGTAAATTATTATAAATATATAATTTTGTAATTGCAAAAAATACTACAAAGTTATGATGCTAATATTTATTAAAATATTTAAAAGGGAAAATATTATGTTGAAAAATATAATGAAATGATAAGGTATCAGAAATCACCAAAGTATACCTGCCTTAAATGCTAAGTAAATTGTGCTCTGGTTCAAATTCTTACTGTAGTTTTGGTAGATAAAAGCATATGCAGAAACCAAAGCAGAGATGATAATATTTTTATTTATTAAAAAATAAAGTGATTTTCCTGGTTTCTCCCCAAAACAGAACACAACATGCCTCTATATATCTGCTTATTATATATTAGTATATTGACTTAAAGTTTGTACTATATATTACTTCCAAGTACTTGATTGCTATTGTCATTGGTCACTGTCCTATTTTAAAAATATTTCTGTATCAAGTCTGGTAATGGGCATAGAACAGAAGATTCAATGGCTTAATGTGGTAGTTTTTTTTCAGTTTTTCCACTACATGACATTTTTGCTTGGACATCCTATGACAGAAAAGAATTTGAATGTGAAAAATGTTACCCAATCATATAGTAAATACTTTCAATTCTCAATTATAAAATTAAAGGAAATGATACTGAAGCTATATAAAAGAAATTTTGTGATGATGAATTAAAATATTTAAATACAACAGAAAATTTTAATTGTTTATAAAAGTTTTTTCCTAGGATGAAAAAATGCATGTGTGTATGTTAATATACACACCATATATACACACATACACACAATTCTACAAAAAATCAGACCACGTGTTATTTTAAAACAGTTAACAGTGACAGTGAATTGAAATTCATGCAGATATATGTGCTTATATGTACTCAGTAGCTGCAGTCTTCTGAACACAAATTACACATATATCTATGTATGTATAAACTTCATATCCTTGTGTTGTAGCACCAATTTTTCTTCATTTATTAATCCTGTGTTAGATTTTTCAGTAAACTATTATTTTACTCTTTGCACTTTAGTCTCTACTCCCAAGATGTTTTATTTAAAATGTGATTTTTGTTTAAAGAGTGCTGTTACAACTATCTTGAAAACATAGTTCACCCCCATAAGCAGTTAATGTTTCTATATTTACTATTGCTATTGTTTTAATATATTTTAAGATAATGACAGAAAAAATGGTGAAATGTACATGCTTTGAGTTAAGCACCTTTGAAGAAGGCGCCCATTAAATTCGGCAGTCATGTGGAATGCATGCAATTTTCTCATGTTCTCAAAGCCTGAGCTGTCTCTACCCTCCGTGGACACAGTGCCCTCTGACCTCAGTGTTTTCATGAGAATTAAGTAACTATGTGTCACAGCATCCAGGAGTCCTTTGAACCACGCTTTCTAGAAGCTCTCTTGCATCGCTTTTAGCATGTGGTACTTTGATTTTCTCTCAGTTAATTTCAAGATACTTCCTAATGCAAGTTTCCAAGTTTTAACTTCAAATATAAACAAAAATGAGAAAAAGAAAGAATACATGTGAAAATATTGATATTCAATAATAACATTGGGAAATTAGTGCTATCATTCTTTTATAGATCTTAGGAAAATTAGATATTAAAATATTATACCGTAGTGTATCAAAGCAATTATAATATATAATTTTTGGATATTAGTACGTGAAAAAGCCACCCAGTCAAAATTTATTTCATTAATTCATCAGTAAAAGTATATTCAATTCTTTAAGTCATTCAGACCAAACGTGTGAGTGGTATGTAGGTCCTCACCATCCATGTCCTTAGTATTTAATAGTGAGAAAGTTTCCTGTGTGAGCTACCATATCCTCATCCATAACGCATCAATAATTGTACCTACTACAGAGGGTTGTTGTAGGGGAGGAGGAAGTAAATAATCAAAATGCACAGAAAGTCTTTATACTGGAATGATCACAGAATACATTTAAACTAATCCTCCCCCTCCCCCCTTCCCCACGCCCCTCTCCTTTCCCTTTTCTTTC